CCCCCCTGCTGCTGCCAGCATCTCTCCAGCTTCGCCATCCTCATGGCCGTCGGTGACGTCAAGGTAGGGTCCTCCCTGCCCCAGCGGCGTTTTCCAAGGGGGCTCCAGGCCGGCAGTGGGGAGAAGACGGCTCCTGGCTGACACAGCACCGCGTTGCAGGAAAGCTTCGCCCTGAGGGTGGTCACCTACGTGGGGCTGTCGCTCTCGGTGCTCTGCCTCTTCCTCGCCATCCTCACCTTCCTCCTGTGCCGCTCCCTCTGGAACGTCAGCGTTGCCCTCCACCTGCAGCTCAGCATCTGCCTCTTCGTGGCCGACATCCTCTTCCTCGTGGCCATGCACCGCATCAGGAATTGGGTAAGGGGCTCCCCAGGACAACCTTGGGGTCTCCAGTAGCTCCTCAGCCTGAAGTGGTGGGAGCTGCAAGGGAAAGGGACCTGGGGCCAAGAGTGTCCAGCTCCAGCCACTGCCCTGGGACCTCCACTGGCCCCTTTGCTGGGGGTCCCTCCCCTCTCTAGGAGGGTTCCGGGCACTGCATTATGGGATATCTGGAGTCGGAGGGACGTCTGGAAGTCTCTGGTCCAACCTCAACTCAACATGGGTCCAACCACATGAGGTTCCTCAGGGACATAGAGTCCCTTCCTTGAGTTGGTTCAAGGCATGGGATTACGGGATACCCAAGGTTGGAGGGATGTTTGGAGGTCTCTAGTCCAACCCCAACTCAACATGGGTCTAACCACATGAGTTTCCCCAAGGGCACATCTGGGCACATGTCAAACCCCTCCACGGGTTGGAGATGCCACCACTTCCCTAGGCAGCCACGTGGGGATGCTGGCAGTCCCTGGGACCCTAGCTGAGGCAGGTCTCTCCAGGAGAATGCGACATCCTCCATCTCTGTCTCTCCTCCCAGCTAGCATGTGCCATCGTGGCCGGCTTCCTCCACTACCTCTTCCTTGCCTGTTTCACCTGGATGTTCCTGGAGGGCTTGCACCTCTTCCTCAACATCAGGAACCTGCATGTGGTCAACTACACCAGCGCCAGCCGCTTCAAGAAGCGGTACATGTACCCTGTGGGCTACGGTGTGCCAGCCCTTGTGGTGGTCATCTCCATTGCCATCAACCCCAGCGGCTACAGGACCGACAAGCAGTAAGTGCTGGCTGTGGCTGGCCCTCTTCTTCCTCAGCCCACTTTTCTCTTGCCTCTCCACCCTGGGGAAGAGGGTTCAAGGTGCCACGAGTGGGTGCTGCTTTCCCTGGGCACTCCCTTCTTCAGGGGGTTGGAAATGCAAATATCGCCACACATGAGTTGGGAGCAGGCTGGTTCTTCACACCACTGTTACGGTGGTTGGGTTTTTTATTTTTCTCCCGTTTTTTGCTCTCGCCTTTTAGCTGCTGGCTGAGCACAGAGGGAGGTTTTGTGTGGAGTTTCATTGGCCCAGTCTGCGCCATCATCCTGGTGGGTATCTCTTTCTCCTCTCTTGGAGCTTAGGCAGGTTGCAGCAGGTCAGAATTAGAAAAAGAGTTAGAAAAGAGCAAATTGAGATAGCACTTTCAGGAAGGCCTTAAGCTAATGTCTTATGGGACAGAACTGCTCCGCGTAGGATGTGTGCCTTTGCGTTACTACTACTTTTTTGCACTGTAGGCAGTAAATATCCCTTTTTCCCCAAAACTGATTGGTTTCAAGTGGGTGTTGAAGTTTGTCAGCACCTGTCTACCGGCGAGGTAGAGACGACAGCTAGAGCAGAGCCCAGCCTCACTAAGCAGCGTTTTCTCCCCAGGTTAATCTGGTGTTTTTTCTCACCACCCTCTGGATCCTGTGGGACAAGCTGTCCACCCTCAACAAGGACGTCTCCTCTCTCAAAAACACGAGGTGGGTCAAGTGGGTTTCTCCACCGGCGCCGTTGCTGCGGATGCTCTCGCCCCGATGAAAGGGAGGAAACACCAGTTTGGTTTGGTTTGGTTCAGCTCAGGTTGGTTCGACTCTGTTAGATTTAACTTGGTTCAAGTCAGTTCGATTCAGTTCTGAACCAAACAGAATTGGACTGAATTGCGCTGTTCATTTTGATTTGATTCACTTTGATTCGGACCAATTTGGCATGGCACAGAGTGATTTGGTTTAAGTTGTTTCAGTTCGAGTTAGTTCAGTTCAGTTTGGTTCAATTCAGTTCAGTTCAAATTGAAGTGGTTCGATTTGGTTCCATTTGGCTCGGTTCAGTTCAACTTGAGGCAGTTCAATTTACTTCTGTTTGATTCTGTTTGATTCGCATCAATTTGATTCAGTTCGGGTTGGTTCAGCTTGGTGCAGATCAATTCTGTTCGAGTCGGTTTGGTTTGAGTCAGTTCGATCTGGCTCAGTTCGGTTCAGTTTGGCTCAGGGGCCCCAGGGGTGGGCAAGGGGCGGCGAAAGCACCGTGCGGGGCTCAGCAGCACTCACCTCCACAGGGTGCTGACGTTCAAGGCGCTCGCCCACGTCCTTATCCTGGGCTGCACGTGGGGCCTGGGCTTGCTGCAGACACACTCCAGCATGCCGCTCGTGGCCTTCCTCTTCACCGGCCTCAATAGCCTCCAAGGAGTCTTCATCTTCGTCGTGCACTGCCTCCTCAACAAGCAGGTATGGTGCTGTGTGGGACCCCGGTGTCTGGGTTGGTCGCCATCCCCGCGGCGCTGGCAGGGAGATCCTCCTTGCTACCAGGACCATGTTGCAGGTGTCCTGGGGGGGGAGGTTTGCGGGGGTCCCCAGGGGGTCCTGGGGATCAGCAGCTGCCCGAGGACACGTGTGTGTGCGGCTGCAGGTAACAGGGCAGTACCAGCGGTGGCTACGGGCCCTCAGCCCCAAAGCAGACACCATGGAGCTGAACACTATGTCATCATTGAACATCACCTCCGACACGGTATGGCAATGAGCTTGGACACTAGGTCCCCTTGGGGCACTGGGAGGGGACTTAGACATCTGGGTGCCCTAAGGGCAATGGGAAGGGAGGGCAGCTTTGGGCACTGGGAGGGGACCCCAACACCTGGGTCCTCCAGGGGCCCCAGAAAGGGGGTGGGAGCTATTGGGTGGCCCAGGGAAAGGCTGCCCGAACATCTGGGTCCTCTAGCAGTCCTGGGAGGGTGGCGGGGCTGGAGATGAGCAAGAAAACCCCAGAGCCTCGTCCTCTACTGCGGCTCCTCTTGGACTTCAGCCCCCAACACAGCTCTATTCCCCCTCCAGGAAGGGGAGAAGCCCACAACCCGGGGCAACAAAGGCTGCGAGTGGCAGAAATGAAGGCCCAGTGCTGTGTGGGCCTATTCCTGGCCTTTCCCCAAGGAACGACCCGTTTCTAGCTGCTTTCTGCAAGGACCCAACCTCTTCCCAGCGTTTCTCTGAAGAACGACCCATTTCCAGTAGTTTTCTGCGAGGATTCGACCTATTTTCAGCCTCTTCCCTGAGGAACAACGTGTTTCTAGCATCTTCATGAGCAGCCAACTCGTTTCCAGCAGTTCTCTTAGGATCTGATGCTTTTCCAGCATTTGCCTGAGGAATGAGCCATTCCCAGCTGCTTTTCATGAAGATCCGACCTGTTCCCAGGATTGCCCCAAGGAACGACCCATTTCCAGCTGCTTTCTGCAAGACTCTGACCTGTTTCCAGTGTTTTTCCAAAAAATTCCATCCATTTCTAGCACTTCTGCAAAGAGCTGACTCATTTCCAGCATTTCTTCAAGGATCCAAACTTTTTCCAGCATTTCCCCGAGGAATAACCTGTTTCCAACTGTTTTTCACAAGAATCTGACCCGCTTCCAGCGTTTCTCCAAGAATTCGACCCATTTCCAGCCCTTCCGTGAGGATCTGACCCATTTCTATGAGGATCTGACCTGTTCCCAGCGTTTCCGTGAGGATCCCACCCATCTCCAGCAGCTGGCGGCAGGTTCCCCGGCCGCCCAGTACCGGCCCCTCGCTGGCGACCTCGTGGGTTGGGGTTTTTGTGCTAAAAGGAAGCAATTAAACGCATGTGGCCTGTCCTGGATGCCTGGGTCCACTCTTGGGGGACATGGAGAAGGAAGGAGGGGACCCGGACGCCTGGGTCTCCCCAGGGGGCTGCAGGCTCCCACCCACCACCAGGCCCAGGTGCATGGCCCCATCCCAGGGTGGGAGGGGCTTGGTCCAGTCAAGCCCCACCTTTCTCCCCTCTGAGCCCAATTAGCTTCCTACCAGCTCTTGATTGACAAGGGGAGCAGCAGGAACAGCAGCCAATGGGGCTAAGCATGCCTCTTCCCACCCCCCCCAAGTGCCAGAGGTGTCTGATTGGCGAGAAGTAGAAAGACGGACAGGGCTGATGGCCTATGGAACAGCGTCTGGGTTTGGTAGGCGGGAGCAGAGCATGTGGTGGCCTATCACACATGAGGGGGCTCCTGAGTGGCGGCAGGGACAATCCCAATGCTCCCAGTACTCCCCAGTTCCCCCCAGCCATGGGACTGGATCCCTCGCATCCCAATGCTCCCAGTACTCCCCAGTTCCCCCCAGCCATGGGACTGGATCCCTCGCATCCCAATGCTCCCAGTACTCCCCAGTTCCCCCCAGCCATGGGACTGGATCCCTCGCATCCCAATGCTCCCAGTACTCCCCAGTTGTGGGACTGGATCCACCCATCCCAGTACTCCCCAGTTCCCCCCAGCTGAGGGGTTGTATCCACCCATCCCAATGCTCCCAGTACTCCCCAGTTCCCCCCAGCCATGGGACTGGATCCCTCGCATCCCAATGCTCCCAGTACTCCCCAGTTGTGGGACTGGATCCACCCATCCCAATGCTCCCAGTACTCCCCAGTTCCCCCCAGCCATGGGACTGGATCCCTCGCATCCCAATGCTCCCAGTACTCCCCAGTTCCCCCCAGCCATGGGACTGGATCCCTCGCATCCCAATGCTCCCAGTACTCCCCAGTTCCCCCCAGCCATGGGACTGGATCCCTCGCATCCCAATGCTCCCAGTACTCCCCAGTTCCCCCCAGCCATGGGACTGGATCCCTCGCATCCCAATGCTCCCAGTACTCCCCAGTTCCCCCCAGCTGAGGGGTTGTATCCACCCATCCCAATGCTCCCAGTACTCCCCAGTTCCCCCCAGCCATGGGACTGGATCCCTCGCATCCCAATGCTCCCAGTACTCCCCAGTTGTGGGACTGGATCCACCCATCCCAATGCTCCCAGTACTCCCCAGTTCCCCCCAGCTGAGGGGTTGTATCCACCCATCCCAGTGCTCCCCAGTTCCCCCCAGCCCCCTCCGCCCCAGTGCTCCCAGTATGCAATGGGCTTCCAGGTGCCATTAAAGCGCCCTTTTATTTAAAATGGAATTCATGCGTTTTCCCCCAGTTTTGAGGGTAAATGGCGGACGGTCCCCATCCAGCGGGACCTTTCGTCTGGGGAAGGGCTGCTGGGTGTCCCCTGGGTTTCTCTTTTCGTAACCTTCCTGGCAGAGCATGGTTTAACACCGGGAGGCCCTTAAAATGTCTTAAACAGTTTTGGTTTCTGTCAGTGGGTCCCTTTTTTTTTTTAATATATATATATTTATCTCTCTCTCTATATAATTTTTTTGCACCAGCGATTCTCAAACCTGGCTCTGAATTAGGACCTTTTTTTTTCCTTTCTGGGAGGTGGGGAGGGAATTTCCTTGGTCGGTTTTAAACTCGAACCTAACTCAGCAAAGCTAAGGAAGAAACCCCGAGAAGGGGTTTGATACCCTCCCCACGACTTGAAGGAGCATGACAAAAAAAAAAAAAATGGCCATTTTAGATTTCAACAGGAGGTTGGAGGCCGTTTTAGGCCATTTTAGATTTCAACAGGAGGTTGGAGGGGGAATCTTTTGGTGCTGGGCTCGCCAGGCATTAATGACACGCCGTGATTTTTTTAACTTGATTGCTTCAAGTTTACCCAGGAAGTTTCAAGAGGTTGGAAGGATCCGTTCCTTCCTTTAGGAGCATCACGGGGACCAAAAAAACCCAAAACACATAGTTCACACTGTGTTTCTTAAGAAAAAAGGTTTTATTTGATGAGGATTCACTGAATTAACAGATTTACAACCGAGCAGAATCAGGGTTGGTTTTGTTTGTTTTTTTTTTTCCCCCCAAAAGGCAAAGCTCGACCTTTGCTGCGGAGTCGCAACCGGAACCAGAGCGGCGCTGGCAAGGGGGGTTCGTGACTTGCGTGTGGTGCTACTTAAGTGAAGGAAATAATTTTTCTACTTCAAACCTGCACTTATCTGCCGGAAACTCTCTTTTTCTGAGAATTAAGCAGAAACCGTGATGCAACACTGCAAACAGTTGGTATGCAGCTATAAAGGAGAGCTGGGGGGGAGGAACTGAGCAGAAATCGTGATGCAACACTGCAAATAGTTGATATAAAAGGAGAGATGGAAGGGGAAAGTGGAGTTAACGATGCTGAGAAAAGGTGTTGTTTTTTTTTTTTTTTTTTAATCCCATCTAACCATCCACTCTAAGTGGGTTTTAACTCTGCAGCACACCTAGTTGCAGCGGTTGGAGCGTCGCCGGCAGCTCGCTTGCCAGTGGCTTTAACCGAAACGCGCAATTTTTTTGCAGGCTTTGCAGGTCAGGCTTGCAAGCACGAGGCGTAGCTGGACTGCGACGACGGCTTTTGCAGACCTGCGAACCCGCGCGCTCCCGTTCGCAGGCGGCGAACGGGAGCGGAGCCGCGCCGGCGGCATCTCCCCGACTTCTTTCGCTTCCCCGAGACGCTGGGGGCGCCTTCAAAGTCGCTCGCCCAAAGTTAGCAGTTCCAAGACTTTTCGCAAATCCAGTGGTGGAGGCGAGAGCATTTGTCGTCGGTCCAGATGCCGTCGGGTCCGATGCTGCCGCAGTCCTGCTGGTCTACGTCTTTATTTTCTCTCCATGTGTTCCAGTAGCTGGTGAGGGGAACAAAGTCACCTCGGGCACATTTCGTTAGCTCTGTTCCCCTTTTAAACAGTGATTAGCCACCAGCGCTGGCTGATCTTTCTAAGGAAGAGGGGAAGTTCATATTTCGAGGGAAGGAGGCCGCTAGTTTCCTTCTGAAAAGGAAGCGGAGCGCCGGCTCCTTCCCCGGCAGACCTTTCGCTCGCCGCACGCTCGGGCATTTTTGCATTGCCAGCGCTCCAGCCCGGGGCCGTATTCGGATAACCGCATGCATCCAACCCTCGTAAACCCTCCAACCACGTAAAACCCTCGACTCGGAGAAACCTCCACAAAGCACCAGTTGTGCGGGGCTAATCCTCCCCTTTCTGCCCTCCGCGGCTATCGAAAAATCCTCCCAGACTAAGCTTTTCAGCGCTGATTTTTCTTGTTCCTGGCCTCTTTTCAAAGGAGCCAAGTGCTGGGATTAGTGTCTGTTTTAAGCAAAGCGCGGGAGCTGCTGCTTACCTGATGCTCGCAGGGGCCCCGTTAACCCAGCGCCAGGTGCCTTCCTCCAGCTCGTCGGTCACTCCCAGCCAGTATGTGCTGCTGTTGTTAATATTGTCTTTTAGGAACTTCTAGAAGAGCGGAGCATGTGAAAACAGCAAAAAAGAAGGCTAGACCGGAGGCCGAGGAGACACTCTGGCCTTTCTAAACTGCAGATCCGCTTGTTAGCGCGGTAGCCGAGCAGCGTCTTTTGCTTTGGGAGTAACTCGGATTCGCTATTTTATCTCAAGGCTTTTGTCTCCCGGCTCGGGAAGGCCTTTGAGCGCCTCGGGTCATTCGCGTGCTCGAGCTCGCTCGAAGCCGGCGAGGTGGGCTCGCAGGTGATGCCCGCCTGCCGGCTTCGCTCACCAGCCTTGCGCTTGCCCTCTCCTAGATGCCAAACGGCCGCGCGGGGAAGGGAGACGTTAAAGCTGAGAGCTATAGAGAGCCCTCTGGAAACGAGCCGTTCTGACCCTTTTCTGCCTCATTTTTAGCCCGGTTTCCTAAGAAAAGAAGTCAGACGTGAGCCATCTCAGTGTTTGGCTGCTGACCCTTCTCCCTCCCTCCAAAAAGCTCCAGTCTCAGCTAATTTGCCCGTAGAATTGAGCTCTCGAAGGTCCTACGTTTGCAAGAGTAGAAACTCCTCTAGAAAAGGGGGAACCGGGCTGCGTCCGTCTCGCTACCCCCGGAATGATGGTTTTCTGGTTCCCACCATTGCTGGCAGCGACAGGCTGACTCACCTGTTCCAGCTCCGTGTTAACAATAACCAGGTGAGAGCCTTCATCCGAACAGATCTGCTTGGCGTCCTGCCAGCTCATGGTCTCCACAGAGAAGTAGTAGCAACTCTTCTCAAACACCTTCCAGCCAGCCGAGCACTTCCTGATATCCGGGAGGGTTTTGCAGATCAGCGCTGCAAGGCAAAAGCCGTCCTGAAATCCTGGCGGACACCCTATTTTACACTGCCTATCAGCAAGCCTGTGCATCTAAAATATATATATATATATACATATAAATTTTTTTTAAGTATCCATTTTGTTTTTAGAAGTCCAATGATTTCTACCATGTTTTTGTTTTTAATTGTTGGGCACTGATTTGCCAGATGGACTTAGGTTGTATCTTATTTGCTGCTCCCCTGTGATGGCACTGGCAGCTCACAAGCGTTTCTCGCTCCCCAGTTTCTCGCTGGCTTTTCCGAAGCCAGAGAGAAGCCAGACCGGAAGGTGTACGAGCATCCTGGCCTATCTGGTTTTCTCCTCCTCGTGCTGAAAAAGCTTCTTGGTCTGTCACGCAACCCGTTTTGACACGCAATCAAACGCCAGCGCCATCCTCTGCCTCCCCACCATGATCACGCAGATCTCCAGCAATCCAGTTGTGTTTTCCATCATTGAGAAATCAGCTGACTGTCCGACTTTCTGAGGTAAAACTGGAAGATCTCTTTTTTCCCCCCAGGTACGTGGCCAGATCCCAACAAACAGCCAAGACAGAGACAGCCCCGCAGCTTTTACCTGTGATTTCCTGTAGCTCCTTGTAGTAGGTGGACATCTTGATCCTCATGCGGACTTGTCCCTGTTGTGTCTCCGCCAGCTCTGGCAGCACTGGGGAGCACAGGGCAGCGAGTGAGACATGTAGCCCGGCCACCCCGGCCTCTGTCCCTGGCTGTCTCCTCCCACCCTCGTTTGGATTCCTTCAACCATGCTTCATCTGATATAAACTAGTCAATCGTTTCGTGTCAGGTGAGGATCTGGCCCGCTATGTTTTACTTCCACAGAATTTTCCATCAAGCTTAAGCCCTTCCCGTGACCTGGCTTCTCTGGGAAACAAAGATAACGGGTCTGATTCCTCCCTCCACATCACTTAGAGTAATTAGGATTAATTCCCTTGAGGCCTGGTTTGCTCCTTCTTGCACCGTTTGGGACTAATTCCCTTGGGATTGGGGTATCATGGGAGTCTACCATGGTATGGGAGCGTAGTTGGGTTTAATGATAGGATGCCAAAGTGACATTGGACAATCTGCGATGCCACCCTGGTGTGTCTTTGGACTAACTACGGATCAGTGTAAATCGGAAATCATTCAGCTGAATCATCACAATTTGTTTCGTTGTCGTAAGAGAGGAATCGGAGCAAGGAGCAGCTCCACCTTGCAGAATATGGTTGATTTTTTTTTTTTCTCTGTTTATGAAAATGCAGGGATGGAAGGTGCCCGAAAGGAACCAGATGTGACTGAAGATCCAGTGCGTCCCAACCAGTCTCCCGCCCTCTGCCTGGAGCCAGTGCTTCCTGCTGCTAACCAGAAATACCTTCGCTGAGGAGGTTGGAGTGCAAGAACCTACCGCTCTCGGAGTAATTAGAGCTCAACATCTTCAACTCCCTCGAGAGCTCCGAGTCTGGAAAGGAAACAAGAACATGCTAGATCATAACAGCGTCCAGGAATGTCACGTGTGTGTTAGGAGTGTCAGGGGTGCACTGGACGTGGCAGTGGTACCCCCGAAATGTAGAGCTGTGATTTGGTAATCATACCGTCAGATGTGCATACTGATTCACAGTAAGAACCGAAATCAGTTTATGGATAGGGACATGCTTAACTGTTCTGTCTGTACCTAAACTTAAAGGATCCTAGGTGCTAGCTGAACACGCGCGTGTTATTTTTAATTGCAGTGAAGATGCATTTTTGGTGTTTAACACCTTCATCTAGCTGCTTCTCTACAGGACTAGCCCTGTCTCCCACCTCTGCAAGGGAACCCGGTTCAGCCTATGCTGCTGCCCAGGCCCCTTCTGTGTCAGAGCTGGTGCGTGTGACAGTGGCACTTACATTTCACCAGGACGAGCGAGAGGATGACCACCCACATGGCAAAACTCAGTGCCACCAGAACGTAGAGGATCACTATCGGCATCTCTCGGCAGCCTTTTCCTGCGCTGGCCCCGGCCTCCGAGTCACCTGCAGGGAGCAGCATCCATCAGAACCGTGCCTGCCCCCACTGTTATTTTCCACCTTCCTTTCCCAGGAAGGAGTGGAAGTTGATGCCCGTTGCTTCCTCCAAAGGAGCTAATTTGTGTAATCGGGCAGCGACTTCATGACTGGTTCATTGGGGAAGATGCTGATAAACCTTGCTGACGAGTAGCCCTAAAGGTGAGTCTGGGAGTTCTTGGAGACCTCGTTGGCCTTCCTCCTGCTTCGTGCTCCTCCACTGCTGTGGAGGACCCCCAGCTCTGCAGACCCCACAGCCACGCATGTGACCCCCATATCCATCCCCGTGACACCCAAATCCATGCGAGGAGGAATCTGGGCACAATGAACCGAAGGGACTTGGACTCACCCGTTCTGATGGGACTCGAAGACGCTGGTTTCCCCGCTAGGACGTAAACGCCTGGAGATAAGAAGGGAAGTGTCACGGAGGCATTTCTAGGAGGTGTCACCAGGGCTGCAGGACCAAATCCTGCCCCGCGGAGACCCTTGACTTTATGCAACACAAGGGCAGAGGAGTTGGGCATCACCTGTGCCTCGCTTGTTCCTCTGGCTTTGCAGGTCTTCTTCAGCTGGCGGCTTCTTGTGGTTGCGATCGGGCTCGGACAGTGACACGTCATCGTAGTCGTCCTCGTCGACAAAGCTGTCGGGTGAGTCTACACGGAGAGGAAGCGACCTTAGAAAACGGGTGTCGTTCGTGTGCACGCTAGCTGGGAATCCAGTGGTCGGCTCATGGCGTTTCCTCCCCAAAGCGTGAGCGTGCGATTCCTCGTCGCCCGCTTCGTAGCTCTCCTTGTGATTTTTAGTAAATTCAGAGCACATCTACCAAGATCGTACACCCTTTTCTCTGTAGTCTTGGGGGAACCTGATAGCTCAGGTTTTTAGGAGCCTGATTCTCCTCTCTACAAAATGGTGCAAATCCAAGCAATTCCGCTGAAATTAGAAGCTCTCCACGTTGGGAGCGAACAAAGTGCGTCTGGCGACGACTCCCTGCACAGCGAGTGAGGGCGGAGGGCTAAATCCAGTTTAAACAGCACCAGGGCCAAACTTGCAAACCGCGCTAACTTTTCAAATCCAACCAGGCTCGTCTGGTAGGTTTGGTTCGAAGAGCGAAGCCAAAAAGCCGCGTGAGCGAGGAGGGTTCTGGGCTGCGACCGAGCAAGTGGTTCGCTGCCGCCGCGTCAGGCAGCCGCGCGGCCCGACTGGGGCACTCGAACGCAGCCCTCGACGGTAAGAATGGCTACTCCCTGCTAGCACTGGGGGTACTTTACACCTCGCGCCGCTGTTACGATGCAAAAAAAGCTAAAAAGAGGGCATAGGGCAAAAAAAAAAAAGAAAAAGGCCTTCTGCTGACATGTCTCCAAGCATCTTCAGGAAGCCGCTGCAAGTTCATTTTTTGTTCTAGCAGAAACAAAGTTTAGAGCAAGGCGGAGCGCAGGGCCTTTTTTTATATAGGTGCATTTTAGCAACAGAGCTGAAAATAAAGCCTCGGGGAGGCACCTCGGGGAGTTCTGCTTTCCATCAGCCCGCGCCCCGGGGTGCTCTTCACCATGTCGTGCTTCGAAAAGCCCCAAAAGGTGGAGATGATGCCTTACCTGGTCTGAAGGAGCCCACCGGTGACATTTTCCCTGCTACGGAGTAAATTTCTGCAAAAAGAAAAAAAAAAAAAGAGAGAGGGAGAGAGAGATGGAGAAGGAAAAGAGTTTTAGGAGAATTAGAGGATTCTTTAAATGCCGTTAGCCCTTAGTACCTGCTTAGCGTTTTGGAGGAAACTGCTGACGCCAGGGCTGGCCCAGAGAGAGCAGTTAGCGAGCATAAAGCCCCGCGCAAGACGGCCACTGGTGGTGGTGCAAACTGGTGTTACTGGTATCATGGCGCTCGCACTGGGGGCTCGGGGCACCCGAGGAAAGGAGAGAGCAGAGTTTGCTGAGTCCTACCTGCCAACCCAAATACCGCCCGCACGAGCAGCCTCCGTCATGCAAATGCTGCCGCTTCGTTAGCCCGAGCGTGCTGGAAGCGAGCCGAAGAAGAAATGAGCCTGGCCCCAAGTCGGAAGCAAATGCCAAGTCGGAAAGTGGCTGCGGGTGTGTTTTGTTATTTGCCGCATCTCGGAGGCGCAAAAAAAAACGCCCCAAAACCACAGTTGGGCGCATGTGCGGATTGAAGGGCCCCGAAACCCACGGTGGAAACGGTGCCCAGCTGCGCACGGCGTGCGTATCGCCAGGTATGTACGTGCGCGCGCGCGTGCAAAACCCGTAGTCCCCACCGGTACGCTTCGGCGACCTACCCGCTCGCGCCGAGCCCGCGTTTCGCTTCGTCCGCCCCCCCCGCACTCACCGCCGCGCTCCCCC